ACACTGAGGGTTGCGATCCGTTGCCGGACACGAAAAAAGACAAAAAGGAAAAAAAAAAAAGAGTTAGGAAGGTGGATGGTGGTGATGGTTCCACAACATTATAAACATATTTAATATCACTGAACTGTACACTTAAAAATAGTTAAGATGGTAAATTTTGTGTTATGTGTATTTTACCACAATAAAAAATTGGGAGGGGAAGAGAAATAATTAGCAGCTCTATTTACCTCTAGAAATAGGAACAAAGAGGCAGGAACTAGAATAAGGAAGATTAGTCAAAGTCTGAAGCTGAATCATATGAAAAAGTCTTCAAAGAAAGTTATGCAGTAGTAGCTAATTTTAACTTGCCCACTTCATTTTAGTGAGTTTTGGGGGGATTTTTAAATGTGCTTTTGAAACCATTTTATCAATAAGCCCAGAAAACATTTAAAAATAGGACATGTTTAAAAATATTATGTAAACCACTAAATCTATGTGTGTACCTTAGCACTTTCCAGCATAGATGTTTGTGTGCATCTTCCCCAGTGGTTTCTTAATGGAAGAATCCATACCTGGTTCTTCTCTGTATCTTCCCCAAGTCCCGAGCACAATGTTTTATATGGTAAGCATTAAGTATTTCTTGAATTGATGAAAAAACAGTTAAGGTATCAATTAAGGTATTAAGAAAAAAAGGGGGGGGGCAGGTAGACACACCAGCCAAACTGCCCCCTCTTGCCCCCAGCAAAAGTCTCTTGAATTGATGAAAAAACAGTTAAGGTATCAATTAAGGTATTAAGAAAAAAAGGGGGGGGGGCAGGTAGACACACCAGCCAAACTGCCCCCTCTTGCCCCCAGCAAAAGTCAGAGGCTTTTTGTTCAGAATAGGTGAAAGTCTTTGAATGGAGGAACACAAGGATAGTTGAGTTTTGGAGTATGAGGAATATGTACATTCGTACTGGAACTCAAGACCACCAAAAATAAAATCCTGGAGGGCCAGGCCATCATCCTCTAGGCAGATAAGCCCAGTGAACTGGCCCTGCCAGCTAAAAAA